TATATACATATATATATATATATATATATATATATATATATATAATCATTTAAATTCCAAATAATTCACTAAAAAATAATTCTGACTAATTTATGAATTAGTCTGATTGATCCGCTGAAAAACAACAACTCAGAACTGGCTTGCATCACATAATAATATCTGATCTAAAGAAATATTTATATTTTATTTTCATTACAATGTAAAAACATTTTTTTTCAAAGTAAATAAAACAGATTATTGTATATTTTCTTATTTCAATCTTTCTACTTTAAAATGTCATTAATTAATTAATGTTAATTCGATGTTACTTCTTGTTTTTTTTTATATATCCAGTATATTTGTGAAATTGACTAGCAGGCTGTCGTACCTTGGCATAGTTGGTGGTTTTGATGAACCACTGCTTAAGCAGCCTCTGCTCCACAGCAGCTCCAGACCTCCACGAGCGACCGCTCTCATCCACCTGCTCATCTGCCAGAACCGTCTGATCCTCAGGGTCCCAGTTCACCAGCGCCTCAAACGCATTCCAACACTTCACTTCAAATGTCTCAATGTCATTGCATTAGATATAAATACTAAAGCAGGTAGAATCTGCAGATACTGCTGGATCTTTTCTCTTCTAACACTGACTTTTATTTATCATTTTTGCTAAATGACTTTTGATCACCTGGTGTCAATATGATTTTTACTGGATGTATGGAGTCATTTCTCTCGAAATACACACAGCTGTTCTTGCAGAGGAACCACAGGATCGCTCAAGAAACATTTCTGATTATTATCAATGTTGAAAACAGTTGTGCTGCTGAATATTTTTGAGGAAACTATGATATTTTTTATATTTCAGGATTCTCTGATGAACAGAAGGTTCAAAAAACAGCATTTACTGTACTTAAAATAGAAATATGTTTTGTAAAAATATATTTTGGAAAAATATAAATGTCACTTTAGATCAATTTAATGCATCCTTGCTCAATAAATTTTGAATTAAACTTTTTTTTTTCCTTAAACATAACTTCTATTATTATTATTATTGTTGTTGTTGTAAGAAAATCAGATGATCTTTTGAAGTTAACTTATCTTTCATCAGTAGATGTGAAAAACAGACTGATAAATATGACGATGATGTTCTCACCTCTTTCTGATAGGCCAGTCCAGCCTCAAACAGCTTGATGAACAGATACTGAGTCCACTTATAATAATCGGGCAGACATGTAGTGACCTCCTGACAAAAGATTAGACAAGACCACGTTTAAATGAAAGAAGGCAAATTTGTCTGAAATATCCAATCCATCAGTGACAACATACAGGGTTAAACAAGAAAGATAGTACAGATACTTTTCTGACACAAACAGTACTTCTAAAAGTAAAATGTATCATTTTGTTTTAGAGTTGGTGTTAACTGTAATGTACTGTACTATACCTGGATGAATCATAAAATATTTTTGGATCTAGATGCATAAAGGTGTATGTTTGTAGAGTAATTTACAACAGCTTCGAACGCGGACCAACCAATCAGAATCAAGGACCGGAACTCTCAGTTTTATATGTATTTACAAAACGTATTTATTTACTTAGAATATCCAGAGTTTTGGATTGTTATAAACTTTAACCCTATAAAGCCTACTGTACCGTATTTGATACACAATTTCTAAGGCCTGTAAATTATGGACATGATCAAAACTTTGCTGAAAAATCTACTACAGTACATGCCTTCTGTGTTTATACGTTTTAGCAAGTAAAAGGCCTTTTAGTATAATTGTACAAACATCAACCTTCAGCTCGAGCTTCACATGTCTTTCTGAGGTGAAATCTTTACTTGTTTCTGATTTTTATAAAGTAACAGCTTTGATATTGTTAGTAATATTTCAAGATGAACACTTACTGGACTGAAGCAGCTCGGCATCATTTTATAGAAAAAATCATGTTCAAATGTGAGTCTCAAATATGATATGATGAACGTTTGTGTGTTCATCTCTCAATCACCATTGCATTGCATTGCATTATATGTTTTGATCATTTAAATCTCATCTTACTAAGACACATTATTGGCAGATATCGAGTGATGACTAATATTTATATATAATATTTTATGTAACTATCTGCTGTATTGTTGTTGTAAAGATCTCACTGATTTACATTACAAGCATCAGAAATTCATCTTACTTTCTGGTCAAATGAATATCAGCATCTGCACCAAATTGCATATTTTTGCTCAGTTTGGGCCTCTGAATAAAGCGGAGCTGTTTTCCCTCCTCGAGTTTGACCTCAATTTCTCACTAAATCATACTGCATGAGCCATAAAAGCTCAATGTATCTAATATGATACTCGACAAAAACATGCTATTTTTTGTTTTACGTTTCATCTAGAAATATTTCAATATAGATCAATCAATCTATTTCAGCTTCAACTGTTTTGATATGTCAGGCTTTACAGGTTTAATTTCCATACTTCCTTTTTTGTTAGTCTCAATGGCTTTCCAATTATTGTCAAATTTGGAAAATAGTAAAAATAATTATGTATGTACAAAACTTTGGCTGGGATAGTGTCACAAAACATTACAAAAACGAGCAATTAAAAGGAGGTACGCTGAGTACCGCAGCCTCCATGAAAGACTGGACACTCCTAAAGCTGTCCAAACAGCCCAGCATTTGGGCCAGAAGTGTGAAATGTCCACTCTGACCATCAGCTCTCCATCAGTCTGGTCTCTATGGTAATGTGACTAAACTGAAGGCAGTCTTGAGTAAAAGGCCTCAGACAGCCAGACCCTGAGTTTGTAGCACTTAACGAACTCTGAGAGCATGAAGAAGATATTCTCTGATCCAATTAGGCAAAACTGAACTCCAAGTGGCACGTCTGGCACAAGCCCAGAGCTGCTCATCAGCTGGATATTACCACAGCTGCAGTCCAACACCATCCTGCTGCCAGAGATGACAGAAACATGGCCAGGACACGCACAGCACCGACTAAAAGCCTCCTTAAAATCACTCTGGGTTAAAGTAGCAACCGACAGGAGAGATTTTTTTTAAGTTCTAGTAAACTTTTTTTTATTTTTTATTTTGTCATTAAAGAGTGCTTTGTGTCAATTTATGAAAACATTTATTCAATCAATTTTGAAATAAGTCTATAATAAAAAGGTCCCCAGTAACTTTTAAAGGCTCTTCAATCAATCAAATCAATCAATCAATCATTCTCTCTGTTACCTCAGTAAATCAGTCTAGAGAAATAAAATGATTGACATGATTAAACTAACTGAAATTTTAATCACTCATTAGCTATTTTTAAAATTTTGCTTTAATGCATTGCTTTTCAAAAGTTTGGGTTTGTATGATTTTTATTTATTTTTTATTTTTTTATAGGAAAGAAAAAATTTGGTAACACTTTATTTCGATAGTCCACTTTAGACATTCTATTAACAGTAAGTAACTTTGCAACTACATGTCAACTAGCAGTTAGTAGAGTATTAGTAGACTGTCTGCTTAACACTTAAGACTATCTTCTAACACTTTCTTTGTCAACTTATTCTACTAACCCTAAACCTACCCTAACAGTCTACTCTGAGAGTTAGTAGACATGTAGTTGCAAATTAATGAGAATTAGTTGACATGTAGTTGACATGTAGTTACAAAGTTACTTATAGTTAATAGAATGTCTAAAGTGGACTATCGAAATAAAGTGTAACCAAAAATGTAATATTTTAGGGATGCACGATATTGGATTTTTGCCGATATCTAATATGTCGATAATTTTCAACTCATTTTGGGCGATAGCCGATACCGATATATAATTATTTTTAATTTTGGTTAGTTTTTAACAAGAACTTATTTGTTAGAATTAAATAAACAATAATGAAGTTCTTTTATAATGACAGTACATTGAAGATTTGAAAATAACTATAAATAAACTATATATTAATCACTGCATTTTTTTTTTCAGAAAAGATGTCGTGGTAACCTTAACATTTTATTTTATGATTTAACATTTGTATCAGAAACACAGTCTAAATACTTGTGTATTTTGCTTTCATTTTATTAGAAGTAGGCCAACAGCGCCCCCTACGGAATTAAAACTCCTTACTGAGCAGGCTTTAGGACCCGGGTGAGGCTGTCATTGCTGCCGCTGCACGTGCTATTACTGTTTACTCTATCATACACCGAACACATCATTCTGTACGTGCATTCTCAGTTTAAATGCAGAGATACAAAACAGTGAATCTAATCACCATTCAGTCAAAACTTTGTTTCAAAAATGAGCCACAATTCTGACATGATCTAATAACACTGTTGACGTGATCTAATCTGAGCACATGTGAGTTAATGTATTCCTCTTATCGGCGAGACATATCGGCATAATTTTTCATATCGGGGCGATGCCGATATTTACATTTAAAGCCATTATCGGCCGTTTCCGATATTGGTCCGATAATATCGTGCATCCCTACTTTTATTCAGCACCGATGCATTAAATTGATATAAAGTGTCAGTAAAGACATTTATAATGTTAAAAATGTTACCAAATTTCTATTTCAAATAAATGCTGTTTCTAGTCACCAAATAATCCTAAAAAATTAAAAATGGTTTCCACAAAAATAAGAAGCAGCAAATTCAGAATGATTTTTGAAGGATCATGTGACACTGAAGACTGGAGTAATGATTCTGAAAATTCAGCTTTGATCAATAAATTACATTTTACTATACATTCACAAAGAAAACAGTTATTTTAAATTGCAGTAATATTTCACAATATTTATGCTTTACTGTATCTTTGATCAAACAAGTGCAGCCTTAAGCCTGGCTCACACTATAGGATTTTTAGCCCGATTTAGCCCCGATTTCCCTCTCCCGAGAATCGGAGCAAAAATCTTGTCGAGCCCCTCGATCGGTCCCGATGTTCGGCGCGGATTATCTGGTAATGTGAGGCGTTCACCGATCGAATCTTGCACCTCCAGATCTGCTCGCACACAAATCGGGGCCGCCCCGATCATATCAAACATGTTTGATATTT